ATCCATTGACTCGCAGCGCCTGTGGGTGGCCACCATGTGTTGCACATAGTGGCAGGCTCAGAAGTGGCAGAGGCTCTAGTCCCTGTCTAGGCATTCACAGCCTCGTGGAACCTGTCTCCATCCACCTTCCCCATGCCCACCCTGGCCTCCATCCTGAGCTGCACCTGCCACTCCCAAGGGGGAGCTGGCACCTCTCTGGGGCCGCTCCACCCCTGCAGCCCGTGCCTGCTCCTCCACGCCCCTCGATGACACGTGTGAACCATCCAGCACAAGGAGTGGAGCCTGCTCTGCTCGCTTGGAGCTTGGTGACAGAGAACTGGTACCTGCAGAGCTGGGGAGTGCAGGACCCCACAGGCTTTGTACTCTTGCTGCTGGTCATGCCTCAGGCTTAAAAGGATGCACTGGAGCTGGTTGCGGCAGAGCTTGCCTGTAGTCCTGACATGCAGGAGGCGGAGACGAGGACCACCCGGAGTTCCAGGCCAGCCTGGACTACATAGCAAGGCCTTGTCTAAAATAAAAAGGCACTCCAGGTTGCCCACTCTTGAGCTGGGGCCCTGGCAACGTGTGGTGTCTCCCACAAGCACAGTTAGGAAGCCACTGCCAGTCTTCCCAGTGCCTCTTGCCAGGTGGGCACAGGTGCTGAGTCTGGACCTGCTCTCAGGACAAGCATCACACACGGTCCCACTCCATGTCCCCTTGTTGTGCACTCTCACGAGGCTGGGGACAGCATCACCACTGTGTGTCACTGGGCAGGTAGGGGACACAGGGGTCCTGCACAGCACAGAGGGTGGGAAAGAGACCTCTGCCAGGTGGGACATGAACGGGGGCCTGGGCCTCATCTGCACCGGGCAGCACTGGTGCCCAGGAGCTGGTGCTGGCCCTGCCTGGGCTGGGCTCCTCGTCCTGTGCCACTGTGGCAGGACTGGAGGTGCACGGGGCCTGTGCAGCGGGCACTGGCAGGTGGCTCCTCGGTGAGTGGCACACGCACCCACAGGAGCTTCCACTTCTCCAGGGCACATGTGGGGCTCTGCGTATGCAGGAGTCTTCCAGGCTCCATGGTGCAGGGGAGGTGTGGGTGTGGGTGGTGTGAGGTTGGCCGGGTCTCAGCTACAGCACAGCGTCTGAGGGAGCTGTAGAGGCCAGGGAAGGCTGGGTACATGCAACTTTCCTCTCGTCCACGCAGGGCTCGATGACCTGCATGTGTGTGCTGACCCTGGTGTCCCGGAGAATGGCTTGCGGTCCCCCAGTGAAGGGGTCTTTTTCGAGAGCTCTGTGATCCGGTTTCACTGCCAGGATGGCTTCAAGCTGAAGGGCTCCACAAAAAGACTGTGTATGAAGCAACTCAATGGGACACTGGCCTGGGTCCCGGGGGACCAGCCTGTCTGCATGCAGGAAGGTAGGTATTCTGTGCTGAGGAGCGGGAATGGGGCTGGCTTGGGTGAAGGCAGCAGCACCAGGCCTCTGCTCCCTGCTGAGCCTGCATGTGACACCGGAAATGTGATGGGCAGAACTGCAGGAAGCACTGGCTTGGGCACCCCCTGCTCCGTGCCCACGCTGTCAACGCACCAGTGTGAGAGAGAACTCGGATGTCAGGGCCCCGAGTACACTGCAGCTCTGCTCCCCAGGTGTGCAGGCGGGCAGCTCTGGGACTGTCAGCCACTGTGCACCATGCAGTGTGGGGTGCAGCCCATTGGAGGCTGGGGTGTGGCAGGAGGAGCAGACTGACCCGCCACTGTGCATTTCCACGGCCAGCTGTGTGTGTGGGCAGTGACGAGTCACTCGCGCTATCTGTGATGACCTTGCACGTGCTGGCCAGAACAGCTTCGTGTGTGTCTGCAGACTCACCTGGAGCTCTCAGGAGCCCTGCTGCTCCTCAGCATGTGCACCCCAGGCCCTCAGTGTGTGCACCGAGGCCTCAGAGTGCGGACCCCAGGCCCTCAGCATGCGTACCCCACGTCCTCAGTGTGTGCACCGAGGCCTCAGCGTGTGTACCCCAGGCCCTCAGCGTGCGTACTCCAGGCCCTCAGCATGCGCACCCCAGGCCCTCAGCGTATGCACCCCAGGCCCTCAGCGTGTGCACCCCAGGCCCTCAGCGTGCGTACCCCAGGCCCTCAGCATGTGCACCCCAGGCCCTCAGCGTGTGCACCC